TCTTAAGAGTGTGATTATTGTAGTAGAATTTGCTTTGCAGGTGAGTACAGAGGAACAAGTTAGAGCAGATTATCAATGCGACGAGAGCGATGCGTGGGGAGATGAAGACCCATCTGTGTTTGTCATGAGCATGACTAAACGATTGGAAGGCGAGTTTCAAGTCACCAATGGTCTTGGACCACATAAAGCCCCCAAAGTCATGAGGGTATGGAATTAGAAATCTCTTATTTGATTATGGTCAAGGTTGGCGCTTCTTAAACCCATTATGTTAAACAAATGATTTATGCCTATATTATAATTTTACTTAGGCTCCGTTTGTTTTTCATAAAAAGACTAATTTGGAAAATATTTTCCTAAAATTAATATCTTATATCTCTTGAAATAGTTTGTCAATGAAAAACAATTTCATTATGAACAACAATTTATGTCTTAACATTTTTGTGGATGATAAAAATATTTTTCATTTTTTTATTTTTTTTAAGCAATCAATTTTAGGAAAATATTTTTCAAATCATTCATTTTCCGCGAGACAAATGCACCCTTAAATCCACTCCATGAGATAATATGATTATTTTTTTAATCTTTTTAATATTTGGCTTGCAAATGAGTATTCTTTAAAAAGGAACTAATTCTAGTTGGCAATTATTCTTCATACATGGAAACTGCGATGGCTCCTACAGTTTCATGCGTCTCTCATATGCACTTCAAATGGTCTCTAGTCCCGACAGCTGACTAACTCTTACTTAGCAATGGCAATAGTAAATACCGCCACATGTAAATGACACAAGATACAATACAAAATACAAAGTGAAAATCTGAATATGCATGATACACTATGTACAATCTACTTTTACCAAATTCAATTAATTAATTACTGAACTTAGCTAGAGGTGATAAGCTTGGCCATTGTGTCAATATCTATACGCCCCATGCATCATCTTATTTGTGGAAACTTCGAAGTGGAAGCCTCTACTGTGATCCACCAGCTACGAGAAAATCTGCTTTATAAAATGCTACTTGACCTGACTGTTAGGTAAATTCGCGATGCATGTGATTTTTGCACTCACATACGCATGGTTTTCCTCGTCAAGTACTACAAAACCCTATGGTATATGCAACAGGAACATTGGAGTACGTTCATAGTGGAAGATGATCTCAAGTTCGTCGCCGATAATGGATTGGACGCTGTGAGAATTCCGGTGGGTTGGTGGATAGAGAGTGACCCGAATCCTCCGCCCCCTTATGTTGGTGGTTCCTTGGCCTTCCTGGACAAAGCCTTCTCTTGGGCAGAGTGAGTCTATTGTCATCTTCTCTTCATCTTAGTTCGTATGCAGATCCAATTTGTAACATATCAATCAATTTTTTTTACCTGCAGAAAGTATGGGTTGAAGGTCATAGTTGACCTGCACGCAGCACCTGGTTCCCAAAATGGCTGGGAGCACAGCTCATCGAGGGATGGGTTCCGAGAATGGGGAGACACAGATGACACCATCCAACAAACCCTCCATGTCATAGAATTCCTAACCTCGCGGTAATCAATTAATTTGTGGTTCACATCCTATTCCGTTACCAGGGATATCATTTGATTTCGCCTATGTAGATACAACAAGAGCCCGAGCCTTTATGCCATCGACCTCTTGAACGAGCCATCCTCAAAGACACTCCCTGTAGAGACTGTCGCTAAGTACTACAGGGCCGGACACAGTGCCGTCCGCAAGCACTCCTCCACAGCTTACGTGATCATGTCACGCGTGCTTGGAGCCTTTGGCCCTGAACTGCTGCTCCCCGTTGCAAGCGGCCTGGACAGGACAGTTGTGGACATACATAGCTACGTTCTGTACAGGACGAAATTTGACACCGTCCAAGGTAACCTTGATTACATATACAAGGCTAGAAGTGCCCAACTGGACCATCTCGCTACATCGGACGGACCTCTCACTTTTGTGGGTAAGTCGAAACTTGTAATAAGATTATCATGCAATTGATGCCACACATCATTGGGTGCTATTTTTGGTGATATGCTATATACATATAAGAAATGTGGATCTATGAAGTAATGTGAAACTGCAGGTGAATGGGTAGTGGAGTGGACAGTGGATGGAGCAACAAAAGAGGAGTACAAAAAGTTTGCGGAGGCTCAACAGGAAGTTTATGGAAGAGCCACATTTGGTTGGTCCTATTGGACTCTCAAGTGCGCCAAAAACCATTGGAGCTTGGAGTGGATGATCAAGAATGGTTACATTAAGCTTTAGACATTACTTTCAGAAACTCATGACTATAATATGTCTATGCACTTTTAGTAAATTGTAAGTTGAAAGCTCTGATTATCTTTCATCAAGTAAACTTGTTGTCATCTTCGAATATAAAATCGTCTGTGCAAGTTGAATAATATTAGTCATGATACTTTCATGACTTATAATAGATGTATTTTATATGTAGTAGCAGAATTCTATTGTTTCATGGCACAGAAATTATATTTTTTTTCTGTGCTGGTTCGCTATTCGCTCTCTCTCTCTCTCTCTCAAAGATAGTCTCATTGTCTAGCTCGAAAGCTGAGGACTGCAATTTTGCCCGACTGCGGAATGCGAGGGACAAATCTTTTATTCGTGCTCACTTCTCTTAGGAGCTTTGAGATGACAGTCGTCGACCATAAATAGGGCAATGTAAATTGAAGACAGAAAGAAATTGTCTATATGGGTCGGAGCTGGTAAACTAAATGGGTCGAATATGGATCTTGTGGAAACTGATATAAAGTTGGGCTCAAATATCTTAAACATACTTTAGTGACTCATTTGCAACCTGGGCCATTGAAAGTGAGTTGAAACCCATATTGACACCTCTAGCTTTTTTTTTTTTTTTGGGTCTTATATTGACACCTCTAGTTGAAACATATTTGAGTGACAGTTATATCCTACACCGCGAACACTTTTGACACTTGCGAATCCAGTCTTAAAGAGTTGATAGTTAGAAAGTATAATTGAAAGTATGAAACAAAAAGTTTAATAAACGTTGTTGACAAGATAAAAGGAAAACAGTCTTATACTTAAGTGAACCATAAAATTAAGAAAATGTCATGTTAGAATCAAACCAAAGCCCGAACAAGTTTTCATAATTTATGGATGACCCAGGTCGGACTTTCACCACTATATTCACGCTCCATCCATAACTTGATCCCCAAGCTTCCTCACTAATTCAATGAGCCGGTTCATGGAGCCGCCTATTCTAAAATTGCAACAATTTAAGAAAACAAATTTGCTAAAAATGGATTCAAGTACAGTTTGGGATAGGTATGGGCTATCAAATTTGTACTTTATGTAAATGGATCAACTTGGGTCGGATCATTTTTGACCCGACTCACCCATTTAGCTAGTGTACTCACAATTAACCCCTAGAATCATGGACTCGTGTGATTACGGAATTATCCGGTGTGGTGAGAACTAGGGGACTGCCATACTTGTCGGGTGGAGATTGGTCGGTTGCGGATACCTGGCATTGTGGAAAAAACATCCTCGGACTCTTTCAAAGATGTTTAAATTCTATACGGAGCGTGTGAATCCCGGGGAATAATTGGGGAGCAACAACAGCCCTGCTCTTCCGCGAACACGTTTTACTTTTGTCCGTTCCACTCTAGTCAAGTCTTCTCTAAATTTTGTCAATTAGTGAGGTCAATCTATGGACGTTCTTTTCCTTACCAAAAAAAAATAAAAATTTATGGACGTGTTTTAGACTCTCCAAGGGGACGGGACAAAATGATGCTTCCCCGAAAGCATATAATCCCTCTTTTTCTTCTTTCTTTTTGGAGAAGAGTGATCCCCTTTTTTCTTTAGCTCTTCTAGCCCATTTCCTAGAAATTTCACCTAGGAAAAATGTCATAAATGATCCTTGAAATTTGGCCGAATGTGCAATATGATCAATGAATTTTTAATTTATTTAATATGAGTGCAATATAGTCCCCAAACTTTCAATTTGTTCAATATGATCCATAAATTTTTTATACATGTTCAGTTTAGTCCCCAAATTATATGAAAATGTTTAATTTTGTGACTAAACGAGAATCAATGGAAGGACAACATTAATATTTTCATATAGTTCAGGAACTAAGTTGAACATATACCAAAAGTTTAGGGATTACATTGAACAAATTAAAAGTTTAGGGACCACGTTGCACATTGAGCTAAAGTACAGGGATTACATTGAATAAATCAAAAATTTAAAAATCATATTGCACATTGAGTCAAAATTTAGGGACTATTTGTATCATTATCTTATTTCACATATATAACTTATGAAAATATTCTTGTTGTGTTGATTGGGATCCCGTAAAAGATTCACATGATTTGACGGCTGTCATTCATTCCACGGAATTATTGCTCATGCCTTAGAGATTTAAGGAGACGAAAAAGGGGAAGCAATGACAAGTTAATTGGAGAGAGGAAAAGATTTTGATAGAATAGAAGGGGAGAAACGGACTCGTTGACTTGTCCTGGACGTTAGAATTCCGATAACAACTACCCTCTTGAAAGAATTATTAAGTCTATTTTATTAAGAAGGGATCTTGTTAACGAGTTCTCTCGGTCTTGGGGCACTCATTAACTATATTATAAGGAAATAGTTTCATTTTTGCCGGACTAATTATACATAGCACGAAAAACACAATAGACACAATTTTGAAGATACTTTTTGTGCATAACACAAGGACAATCTACACATTGAAAACTGTGAAATTTCTTCAATTAGTTTCTTAATGAGCGTTTCACGAGCACTCTTTAACAAAATCCTATTTAAAAGGGAATACATAACTGGACAAAGAAAGAGGAGTTAGATCTACGTTAACATATGGTAAACATGAAACGTCCTTGAATCTATTAATCTATTTCGTTCTACGGAAGAGTTAAGGAACATTATCATAACACACGTCAACGAGCGACGGACGGGGAAGTTGCTGTGATGTTGCCCAAAGTCCAGTCGCATGACCCAGTCTGGACGAGTCAACCAGAAAATTTTAAGAAGAGTATTCACAATGGAATGAAATGCACCAAGTAGACCAGAACCAGATCACTCAGTATAAATAGACAGATGGCTTGTGGCAAAAATACATCACACACACAGACAACTCAGCTTTTAAGCTAATTGAGTGAGTGACTCGACTCATCCCCATCATGCAAGCACTCATTGCATCTGTCCTTAATCATTTCGAAATATTATTACGTGAACATTTCTTACACGAGTACTGTTGGATATGTTTTAGTCATGTTAAGTGCAGATTTGGTGTGTTCCTTCTGGGACAATCGATTGCATATCTAACTGCTGTTTTGTTTTATGCTGATTTTGAACGGGGAAGTAGGAAAACAGAAGCCATGGAAGTCATCAGCAATGGGGTCCGATCGATCGGCAACCATTCCGATCAAGAGATGGAGAATCGCAACCCCAAAGTAAGAGCAGTGAATCTGGGAGGCTGGCTGGTCACAGAAGGATGGATCAAGCCTTCCCTCTTTGATGCAATCCCCAACAAGGACTTCTTGGTACTGTGCTACACGTATTTGCCTTGGTGTTTTCGTTACTCTTTTAACCGGTGATTCATTTGGTTTCCACAATTTTTCTGATTTTCGAACTGTTTATAATGTGAAGGATGGGACTAGACTTCAGTTCAAATCAATTACAGTCGGGAAGTTTCTCTGCGCGGAGTCCGGCGGAGGAAGCCGGGTAGTCGCCAACAGCACGGGGACCAGCGAAGTTGCCAAACCCCCAGCAGGTTCCAGTTCCAGGTGGGAGACATTCAGGGTGAGTTAGCTTTAAGCAGACAAATAACCTTTGGCTATGAAAACCCATGACGTCAGTTCGGTGGTTAAACAACGAATTTGTGTCTGTAGATTAGATGCACAGTACCCCAAGTGCTAATAAATTCCATATTTGGGCTACTGCCGTCTGGGTTTTGGCTCACGTCCTACATAAATGGGATTTTGGTGGGGACTAACATTGAACAACGTTAGGGACGGGAACGATGCAATTGCAATGTACCCTGTCAGTAAAGTAAATCTCAGATCTTTCAACTTGGAAATAGTATGGATATATTCTCCTATTGACAACAATTTTCCGACTACAATAAGTGTCATCTTCAAAGAAGATAATCTCGTGCATTGAGCTACAGATGATTTGCTGTGTTTTGAGTGTGTGTAGCTGTGGAGAATCGACGAGACGCTCTTCAACTTCAGGGTTGCCAACAAGCAATTCGTAGGCCTGAACTCTGGTGGGGACGGGGTCGATCTAGTGGCTACTTGTCATTCACCAGGAGCACCCGAAACCTTTGAGATTGTGAGAAACCCAGACGATGTAAGCCGCGTTAGAATCAAAGCTTCCAATGGCCTCTTCTTACAGGTCATCAATCTCTTTCCATTTCCTATATCTTACACAAGACTAATGCCAGATTTGTTAAAGACTGGCTGAGAAATTACTGCATGAACGTTGTACATGTATTGATATGTCTATGATCTGTTAGAACTACTCTAAATTGGACGTGAATTATGATCCACTTATTTGAAGGGCCAACTTAGTTACGATTTTAGCCTATCGAGCGTTATTTTATAAACCAATTTAGTAGACCAAGGTTGTTCTTTACACATTAGCATGTAAGATAGACACTCGTCGAGTGAAAACTTTTCAAGACTTATTTGAAGTAGAGATTGAGGAAAGTAAGAAAGAAGAGTGATTATTATAGTGGAATTTGTTTTACAGGTGAGGACAGAGAAACGAGTGACAGCTGATTATCAATGCAATGAAAGTAATGCGTGGAGAGACAAAGACCCATCTGTGTTTGTCATGAGTTTCACTAAAAGATTGGAAGGCGAGTTTCAAGTCACCAATGGTCTTGGACCACATAAAGCCCCCAAAGTCATGAGGGTATGTAGTTATAAAACTCTTATATGATAATAGTCAAAGTTCAAGCTTCTCAAACCCACTAAATTAATCAAATCATATATGCCCGAATTATAACTTTACTTAAACTTACTCTACGATAAAGAGATATTTTATTTTCATATTTTTAGTATATGGCTTGCGAATGAGTATTCTTTGGGGAGGAAGTGATTCTAACCGGCAATAATTAGTATCATCAAATATGGAAATTACGGTAGCTGCTGCCGTTTTCTACGTCGCTTTTATGCCCCTTAAAGGGTCTCTAGCCCCGACAGATTTCTAACTATTACTAAGTACTAGCCAGTAAATGTTGTCCATATGAATGACACAAGATACAAGACGAAATACAGAATGAAAATCTAAATATGATGTGATGCAATATGTAGAACCTAGCTATACTTACCAAGCTCAACATCTTTTGGGACCCAGCCGTGAGAAAATCGTCATTATAGAATGGTACTTGACCTAACGAGTTCGGTTCTTTCGGGATACATGTGTTTTTCGCTTTTATGCATGTGTGACACATGCATGGGTCTCCTGGTCAAGTACAACAAAACCCTGTTAGGCATGTAAATGAATTAACCATAAAAAAGTTGCAATCGACCTTTTTCCAACCATAAGTACCTGATCTATTAAGACTGATTTATTAAATTAATTTACTAAGCGTGATGTGAATTTGTTACTGGGTGTTGAATATATATATCAAAAAGGATAAATCTTGTCTGAATTTGAGTCAATTGGGCCGGATTCATTACATCCGTCCTTTTTGTGCGTTCCAAATGTGGCACTTACGTGGATCCCACAAAATGGACATCTATGATTGACGTGGTTCAATGGACTTGGTTCCATATACAACCAATTTTATACTTAAATTCTCGCTTACAATCCAACATGTCATTTCAATACATTAATGTTAGTAAGTATTGCTCGTTTCCAATAGCATAAAAGGTTTTTTTTTTTTTTTGTCAAAGAGCAGAAAAGAACTGTATACCTTCTCGTTGTATATAACACTTTGCAACTAAGAAAAACTTTAAGCCAATTCAGCTTCAAATCATGCCTTTTTTTGCAAGTGTAGACCTATGAAAATCCTGCGGTCTTCTTTCCTTCAAGTCAATATCACCGACTCTTTCGTCTGATCCTCGATGGTATTTGGGTTGCCGATGTATCCTATACGACCACTGAATTCTAAACCACAAACGGCAATCCGACAAAACCACGAGAAGGACCTTCTTTCATTAATCTTACTATTATACGACTCTTGAGTTTTGTTCCTGAAGCATATCGTTTCGTTAAGTATTTTTCATGCGTAAATTATTATTGAGAATGTCTTTATTTTCGTTCTTTACTCAATTTGGATGGAGTGATTAGGGGAGGATTAGAGAGGAAGAGAAAAGATTAACAAAAAAAAGTAGTTCTTGTTTGGTAGGAGGGATTGATATCGACGGAGCTGGAGCAAAAAGATCTCAAATTTTCTTTTTTGGTGCCACCTAATCTTCTCAAATCATTCCAAATCTATCTAAAATTTGAGTGGACTTAAATAAAAGTTGTGAATTGATAACAGGAACATTGGAGTACATTCATAGTGGAAGATGATTTCAAGTTCGTCGCCGAGAACGGGTTGGACGCCGTGAGAATTCCGGTGGGTTGGTGGATAGCGAGCGACCCGAATCCTCCGCCTCCTTATGTTGGTGGTTCCTTGGCCTTTCTGGACAGTGCCTTTTCTTGGGCAGAGTGAGTCTATTGCCATCTTCTCTTCATCTTATCTTGTATACAGATGCAATTTGTAACATATCATTTGATTTTCTTACCGGCAGGAAGTATGGGTTGAAGGTCATAATTGACCTGCACGCAGCACCTGGTTCCCAAAATGGCTGGGAGCACAGCTCATCGAGGGATGGGTTCCGAGAATGGGGAGACACAGATGACACCATCCAACAAACCCTCCATGTCATAGAATTCCTAACTTCGCGGTAATTGATAAATTTTTCGCTCACACCCTATTCCGAGTATTGGGGACATGATTCGATTTCGCCTATGTAGATACACGAAGAGCCCGAGCCTTTATGCCGTCGACCTCTTGAACGAGCCGCTTGCGGAGATACTCCCTCTGGAGACCGTCACTAAGTATTACAGGGCCGGGCACAATGCCGTCCGCAAGCACTCCCCCACGGCTTATGTGATCATGTCACGCGTGCTCGGAGCCTCTGGCCCCGAACTGCTGCTCCCTGTAGCAAGCGGCCTGGACAGGACGGTTGTGGACACACATAACTACGTTCTATTCCGAACTAAATTTGACACCATCCAAGATAACCTCGATTTCATATACAAGGATAAACGTGCCCAATTGGACCGTCTCGCTACACCGGATGGACCTCTTACTTTCGTGGGTAAGTCCAAATTATACTAAGATAATCATACCATCGATGTCACGCATCATTGTGTTTCTATCTTCCGTGATTTGCTATATAAATATAAGAAAGGTGGATCCATGAAGGAATGTAGACTTGCAGGTGAATGGGCAGTGGAGTGGACAGTGAATGGAGCAACAAAAGAGGAGTACCAAAAGTTTGCGGAGGCTCAACAGGAAGTGTTTGGAAGAGCCACATTTGGTTGGGCCTATTGGACTCTCAAGTGCGCCAAACACCATTGGAGCTTGGAATGGATGATCAAGAATGGTTACATTAAGCTTTAGACATTTCCTTCAGAATTTCGTATATATATGTCTATGCACTTTTACTAAATAGTAAGTTGCAAGCTCCTATTATCAAGTAAACTTTTTGTCATCTTCGAATAAAAAATCGTCTAGGGAAGCTTTTGAACACATGCGACACACCTAATAGAGTTGTAACTTCCATGAACGTTTTTAGTTGAGTAATTCTAGTCATGAAATAGAATTACTGATTTCTTTACGAACCAACCAACTTTTACCGCCACATAATTTACTGCCCCTTCGAATTTACTATCTCTTATATGTGACTAGCAACTAAATTATAGTGACTTTCCAATTTTTGTCAAATTAATTATCTAAGAGTTTTGGGTTATCAACTCTTATTGGAGTTACTTCCTCATTTTAATTGTATTTATTAATTTTCCAACTTTTCTATTTAGTTGTCAGACTTTTACTCGTTTTAGAGATTACTGATACAAATAACCATGAATCACCAACTTTTATTCTCATTAAATTACTACAAAATATAGAATTATAAACTCTAATTAAATTACCCACGAACATGCATTTGAAACTCAGTGGAATCCACGGGAGATTGAAATTGACAGTGCGGTACTGATATAACCTTTATGCATGCATCATTAGCTTTTTGGCCCAATGCCCTTTTAGTGGGGAACATCAAATTACTAAATCAAAAAGGAACTCATTTGGAAACACCACTGTACCACAGTTGGATTTGATGATTTTCTAAGCAAGAAGGATGCATGATTCTATAACTTGATACGCTAACTCTTATAGGCTCGATTGAAGTTTAGATTGCTGGTAAATACTCGATTACTCAATTTAAAATCAAGGAATCTCTCCTTCATCGTATCGACATCTTACGAATATATAAGAACAATATGAGGTCAATACTACTTGTTAATAATTAAATTGCAGCCGTCAGGCACACGGGCGGAGGTTGAGGGTGCGAGGTGGGGACACCAGCCAAGGTTCGATCCTCAACAAAAAGCAAAAGAAAAAAGAATACACCAATCAAATAGCTAAAAAGTTACTCGGACCGAAGCTAGCACGTAGCAATGACTATGTATATATATCTAGTTGATGTCAAGTACAAGCGTTAACTATTAAACGAAAAAAATAATTTGCATGATGCTTCTATTGGTAGGTTTCATAGTATCAAGAACATAATTAGGGCAAGATATTTTGCTTGTGACGGTGGGTCATACCATTACTCGTCCTTTTTTAGAAGCTGACTTAATAACCATTCACTTGTCCATTCCTAGAGGGAACGATGCTCCTAAGCAATGACTTTGTGCATTGTGGTAAGCTATTATGGGCAACAGTCAATCGACCAAAAGCAATGGCGTCTAGAGACATCAACTTCAGCTGAGCTGTTCAATACCTGTGCATTCCCAACCCTGACAGGGACACCAATTAGACGGATCCAAATTGGCGGGGGACTTTCTATGAATTGCCTATATGTATATGTGGAGGTCACTCAAGTTAATTAGTAAGATATCGAATATATCCCGCGTTAACTTGTTGAATACATGATTATGCGTTTAATTTTAAGTTGATATCAGAGTCGGAGATGTCAAGTTTGATTCCTCACACCTTCTTTTAGCCCGTGCATAAATATCCTACTTTTTCCTTTTCATGCTGCACAATGGCCTCAACAATTCTTTCATCCGTGCATATCGGGTTCGCACGTTTAAGACCAACATCATTAAACCGGCATTCGCGTAACGAAATGTGTTAAAAATATAAATACAGTCTACATTGTACTTTAATAGTTTAAACTTCTGAAGTGAACGGTTGCACATTCGGTTTTAACCTAAGTAAACAAGAAACCGCTTACATAATCGCAGCCAAGTATGCATGAATTAGCGAGAGAAAGACGAGTACAAAATTTGAGATATAAAACACGACGTGTGCACGAGAACGCTCTTGCAACCGGCTTTCAAAATCTGAAGATACTATAAAAAATGTAGAGTTCAAACATACGGTCTTCGAGTGCCATTAAATGTTCGTTGAGAACCTATAATTCGATCGTACATGATGCATATATTGAGTTTTAGGTGAGAGTCCATCAGAAATTATTTCCGAAGTGCAGAGTTCATAACATGTACTCCTCCGGAGGTTTCCACTGATCAAGTTCCATAACATCTTTTGTAAAAGACTCGAGAGTGTCCTCTCATATCTTGTTAGTCACATCATCAACTCATAAATTCATGCGAAGAGCCTCAAGACTTCACAGTTACATGGCATTCTCGGTCTGTATCATGAGTTTCGCAGCGTATTAACCTGAATAAGCTTTGCTATAAACATGGCTGTCTCCAAAACCTTGTGTTGTTTTCCACAATTTCTCGGATAGGTAAGTTAGTTGGACGAGTGCCATGGAGTCAAATAGTCAATTATGTAGATGATTAAAAAGAACAAAAAGGTAACAAGCCTTTGATTTTCAAAGTGGTAGTCACGGGACCACCTTCCCACATACAAGTTGAGAAGCTAAAGTCTTTCTTTCCCTTCTTTTATGGCCTTTCTTTGACATTCGCGAGAGCTTTCCTTCGCTCGTGCTTTGATGGTTTCCCATTATTCATGTGAATTAGTTCAGGAAGAATTTGGTCGCAGTTGATCTCTCCAGCGACAGTTCCGCCCACGGATTTTCATGCAAAACCCTTCTTCTGCTGCAGACCGGGGTTTGAGACACCTGCTGTAGTTTTAACTTCCAAAGCGTCTGTATCACTTTAGCTGTACTGATGTCTACATACGTATTTTGTTATATTTCTCCTACCATATTATGGCCACGTCAAAATTTACATTGGAGCTGCCGGAATCTGCACATGTCTTACCGGAAATTAACGATGATCTTGAAGCTCCAGTGATGAAATCATCGATAACATTAAAGTGTTGTTATCAAGGCCAATGAGAAGGGGCTGACTCGAGCAGAGCTCGACCTTCGGAAGGCATCTTCCTAGAGTGCATTACTCCTTTTCTTAAGAGGCCAAGTGGTAGAAACTTTGTGGGTGCGCTACATTATCATCTGATTAGATCCTTGAGTTCTTAATAAGCATCGGCCAGGCACAAAGAACTTCTCTCATAATCAACTAGCACCTTGTAAGGGAATGAGCAAGCAGCCGCACATGCATCCTATTTATCAACTCCTCGCAGACACAACTAAAGGCCCAAACAACATAAACGAGTCCGAGGGTCTCGACTCGAAATCTACGCATCTCTGTATAAACTTTTATAATGGGTCTTCCGGTGCACTCGTTAATCATACTTCATTTAAAAAACAAAAGTTTTGATTCCTATACACTGATTAAACATAACACGAGAGAGACAACCTACTGAAAATCACGAAATTTCTTTATACATTTATAAACAAGGTGATGAGTGAACTAAAATCACCTGTATATGGGGAGCTGTAACAATATTATATTTGATCATTTAATTAGAGTTCACTTTGTATATTTTTTTTTAATTAAGGAGGGTCTTAATCATTAACAATGGATGAAGCAACAAGTGGGCAGACCAGGGGCTGAGGCAAGGAGGTCCAAAGGGGCCCCTTAAATAATTGGGTGGCAAGTGCATGCCTTGGTGTTGAAAAAGAGGGCACCACCCTGGCGAATCCGGCAAACCTACAAGTTGCACTCCCTTGCCTGACTTTGAAACCTTTAGATTTTTAGGGTTTTATTTTCCCAATTTATTTTTCTTATGTTGCCCTTTTGTGATGAAGAAGAGGCCAATTCCTAGAGTGGAACTCGACCTACAAGGAATGTTATTGTTCGCAAGAGAGGTAGAATTAGAGTGAGTATATATGGTTCTTAAGAAGCACCGTCCTTTCTGGGCTTTTCATTGTCGAATTGAAAAGTACAAGATCACAATCGTTCAGGCTAAAATCTATTAATTAATTGAAATCCGTTGCATTTCAATCCAACGGTGAAAGATTATAAAGGCACGGTATCTCATAAGATGAATCTATCGTATAAAATTCTATTTTACGGAGAATAATGTTAAGATGAGATGCATACACTAAAATGCATCCGAAACATTGAATGTGGCGTCTTACTAGCAAATATGGTAAGTCCCCACCAGGTGTAGATACAATTTAATACATGTATCACACTTGCATATAAATTCCTATTATTGTCCTAAAAAATATATGTATATAGATGTATAATGCTATGTCGTATTTAATCTTCCAAGAACTATTTATAGGGAGTTTTAAGTACACTCAACTGCCAATCGATGGATGTGTAGATGAAATTTTTTACTTTCAATAGAGGAAATTCATTTGTGTTATCATTATATACTATATACGAGTCTTAATAAACATTCGGTACGTGCGAATAACAAATGTTCTATGGAGATCATAATAACTTTTACGAATAAATTCATATGCTACATCTTTGGTCAATTTTGTGTCTTGAGTATCTGTCAGGAATTTTCTAATTTATGGTATACACGTAAGAATACAGTATATGCTTGTCAATATGTAATCTTTGAGTTTCGAATAGATTGAGTAGTTATGACTCAAACTAAACATTCTACACATATGAGATCCTTATAACGACACTTGAAAGGGTAGCTGACCAGTCACCTTTCTCCACCTTTTTTACCACAAAAAAAGGTAAATATATTACAAGTAAATATGATGTATAAAATCATGGTGAATCCCGTGTGAGATTCATGGGTAATTTCTATCTTTTCTGAACGCACATATGGCATCGAATCCATACTAGTATGGCTTCTCCATGACCAATTGACTTTAAGATGTGACATTTTATAGAATAGTCACTACAATGCCACTGTTGTTCTATATCATATCCTTGGGACTGGCATTATTGGTACTTTCAATATGGTAAAACCATTAGACATCGAGATCCTCTAAATTTACAATTAATTGTACCGTGGACATTTATCCCTTTTTCTTCTCCTTTTTCCTTTTCCTTTATCTTTTTTATTTCCCCTTTTGCCCTCACCATCATTGCTTCTACCCGAGAAAATAAGACACCCGCCACTCAACCGCAGCAACTCGGCCTCACATGGCAGCCGTCGCCCATTCACCTCCGAGCCACGCGATGCTGCTGCCAAGCTACGCAAACCGGCGGAGTCCCGTTCCCGAGGCACCTTCTCTCTAGACAATATGTTTCCTTTCTAGATCCGATTACGTCCGATCCCGCGGCCAATTCATCCGGGCTCACGCATCTATCGAATTCAAATCTAGTCACCGATCGAATTCAGATCCAATCTAAGTAAGTAAAATTAAAAATGGAGTGTCTTAATCACCAAAAGGGCAAAAAATAAAAAGGAAAAAAAAGTGGCATCCTTGTCCTTTGATTTTTCTTTTTTCCATTTCTTGGGGAGGGCACATCCAAGTCCTTATTCACTTGCCTCTCAACCCCTACCTAACCTCCAAGTAAAGCATGTACTTAAACCTTAATGACTCTTAAATTAATTACCGTCATCCCACAAGTTTTAGAAGATTTCTTAGCATAGTGGGACCCGATGGCTGACATGGACACGCGCAATCTCGCAAGGAAAGAAATGGGCGATCCAGATTCGCTCCTCGCCTGTTGGCTCTTCTTATATTTGCCCCCCGCCCATCTCCACTCCTTCCTCCTCCACTTCTCTCTCTCTCTCTCTTTCTTCTTCTTCTTCTTCTTCATCTTCTTCTTCATCTTTGTACCCTTTTTCCATTGTTTTGTTTTGTTTTCAAGAGATTAGTTGCAGTTGCACAGTGAAGAAGAAGAAGAAGTGGTAGTAGCAGTTGTGGATTGAGAGTGAGAGAGAGAGAGGGAGGATGTCGTTGGGGAAGAGACCGCGCCATATGAAGCGGACGACGAGCATGACGGAGATCACCTTCGATCTGAACATCAGCGACGAGGCGGCGCCGGCGAGGAACGGCCAGAAGCCGGCGGGGCCCGGCGAGGGGTGGGATCCGCGGCCGGTGATGCCCTCCGCGGCGGCCTCGCAGAGGTCCCACCGGCACCACTCCTGCGAGTTCATCGACACCGCCCACTTCTTGCGCTCCTGCGCTCTCTGCAAGCGTCGCCTCGTCCCTGGCCGCGATATCTACATGTATAGGTATTTTCTTTTTCCCTTCAATACTCGAAATTCAGCTGAAATTCACCAAACTTTTGCACCTGTTCGCGGCCCAGATCCAGCTTATTCGATGAGCAAATTTCATTTGAATCGAATCAGTCGATAATTCGTATAGTCAGTCATATAATCAATGACGCCAGCGAAGCGGAGGCATTATTGACAGACCAAAAGATAAGACGAGAAAAACAGATCAGTAATTTTCTGACAGACGAAAATTTTCCATTTTGAGGCGACTTTCCATATTTGATCTGTTCTTTAGTTTTCGATCGACAATTATGGGAGGTGAATACATTCGAAAAGATGGTTTTCCTTAATTTTTTTGGTTTCTTGCGTTTCTTGTTCTTGTTCTTGTGTTTGCAGAGGTGACAGCGCGTTCTGCAGCCTGGAGTGCCGGCAGCAGCAGATGAAGCAGGACGAGAGGAAAGAGAAGTGCTCGTTCGCGTCCAAGAAGGAAGCCATGGCCTCCTCTCCCGCCTCCGCCGCCGCCAAGGTCTCCGCCAAAGGCGAGACTCCGGTCGCCGCCGGTGTGTAGCCGGGCTCCCCATCCGGCGCCGGCCGCCGGCTATCCCAGACGACAGCGAATTTTTGCATGCGCCGCTCGTGCACCACACCCAGACCTGGGAATCTCATGAATATATATATATCTCCGGAGCTAGAAAAAAAAAAACAAAAGTAGAAAAGTATTTATCTTGTGGGTGGAAGCAAAAGATGGAAAATTTATTGGAGAAACCTTTTGAGAAACCATTATTCTTAGGTGCATCCAAGCAAAATGCAAAGTTCTATCGCCCACTCTCTCTCTCTCTCTCTCTCTCTCTCTCTCTCTCTCTCTCTCTCTCTCTCTCTCTCTCTCTCTCTCTCTCTCTGCGTCAAAAATCAAATACAGGGACGTGAACGAGAGTGTTTTGGAGGTTCCTTGTGGCCTGAGCGAGGGAATCATCGAATGGTCCTCCATTGACACAGAAGGGAAAGAAAAGCGACTTTTCAAGAATATGTTCAACCCATCATGAAAGAGAAACTGGGAATCCCACGAACACGCCGTGGAGCCTGCGAAAACCAAACCTTTCTCGTTGCTTAGACATGCCGAAACTGACGATACCGGAGGGCTCGGTTTCTACCTAAACCCCCACTGATTCAATTCAATATACAAAGCGATGCGGACTCGTTTTGTTTACCAAATTTGATTGCGGGGTAAGAAACCTGAGATCATTTTCTTGTCTGGGGACCAGCCGTGAATCTTTCACCGTTCGAGAGAGAGAGAGGGAGAGATTCTATTTTGAGGTCGCCATTCTCTGTCACTAGCGCTCGATGAAAGGAATTTGGAGGAGAAGGGAATCTGTGGCTTAGTCAGCATTGCGTGCGGTGGGTCCTGAGGTGCATAGAGGAATCCATTCGGAGAGGAGTTAAAGTTTCCTTTCTGATGGACTTCGAAGGTAAACTAAATGCCACTGATGCATGCTGCGCCACGGCAAATTTACCAGATCCGGCATCTTTGTCTCGACAGAGATGGCCTCCACGGAGAGAGAGAGGGAGCACGAGAGGCGTAGGTGTTGTCGTGGTCGCATCTCGGTCGCAGAAAACTCATTATCTCAAAAGGGTCAGGTTTGAGTCGCGTGTTCGTCTTTCTCACTCGAGTTCTGTTCGATTCGATCCGTTGTATATACGTAGTTTGTTAGTTAAAATCATGCGGGGGTGATACAAAAATTCATAACCACTAATTAGAATTCGCTTTCAGGAGTAGGCATTGTTATTCTTTTGGAAAGCGCAATTCTCAATCCAATGATTTGCGTATTTTTATACTCATAATTCATTTGATATAGTGTTTCCAACAATTTTTATATGAAAATAAGAGCTCGTTTTGGTTGATCCCGCAAATTTAGTATATAATAGGTGAATCTAAGGACATAAAAGCATTCGAATTTCATGGGGAGCACGCTGGACTCAGAGGACAAACATTTCGAGATTACCATATTCAAAGACGGTATATATTGTTTAGTGGCTTCGTTTGGTTGAGCGCAGGCTTGAATTCTTCAAAGAATGGGATTGAGATTCCTACGTTTTACATGTTCGAAGAGAAATCAAACTATGAAATTAAATTCCCATTACAATAAGGTTATCTCAAAAACTGCAAAATTGAATTACCTAGAAATAGTTACTATTTCTTATTCCAATTCCACAATCCCAAATCCTAACACTCGCTAGCAAAAACTCAACTCTATCGGTCGCTGTCGCCACCGCCATTGGACGCCTGTCGATGCCAGTTGCCAGTTATTTATTGTTACCGTCGCTACGAAGTATTCTTTTTTAAAAAGAGAAAAGGGTAAAAATTGTTCCGATTTTTTTTTCTGATAGTACCCGTGTCGGCCGTGTTTGTCTGCTTTCTCTTCCATTGACTTAGATGGAGGGGAAAAAATGTTACTTAATTTGTCATGAGAACATGATAGTCTCTTAAAGAAAATCAAAGGGAATAATGCAAACAAAGTGATCCGTGATGGTTGGGACCAAGTCTCGAATGATTAGGAAGCCTAGCGCAGATGAAATTTTCAAGATATGGGGACCGATGGGCAACAGAAGGTGACTCATTTATGTCCTCTTCTACGGTTGAGTATAAGAAAGGAAATACTCTGTTGTAAAATAATCTCTTCCATATAATTGAGATGTCGGAAACGTCGTCAGGAATTATTCGCGGGATTAGTCGAGTCAAAAAGTTTACGTAGTTGAATTCGTTTGTATAAGAATGGACTATCCACTACTGGAAATTTTTCGATGGCAGCAACATTATTTGCTACTCGAGTACGAGGCTTTTTATTGGTGTTTTCTCGAAGGGAAAATTACCAAAAAAGTCCTAAACCTTTTGCAATTGTGCCAATTTAGTCATAAACCTTTTTTTTTGCCAATTCAGTCCTAAACCTTTTGCAATTGTGCCAATTTAGTCCATCCGGCCACTTTTTGCCGGCCGGCGCTGACGTGGACGCCGGTCGGCTGATGTGGCAATTTTTAATAATTTTTTTAATAATTTTTTGAATTTTTTTTATTTTTTTCTCTTTCTTTTTTTTTCCCCCTATCTTCTTCCCCTCTCGTCCCTGAGGCAGGCGAGGTGGACCTCGCCGGCACTGGCGAGGGCCAGCCTCGCCAGATCTGGGCGAGGCCTCACCGTCGCTGGGCGAGGTCGACCTCGCCCGGCCATGGCGAGGCCTCGCTCGGCGACGGCGAGGCCGCCCAAATCTGGCGAGACCTCACTGTCGCCTGGTGAGCTCGACCTCGCCGTCGCCGGGCGAGGTCAAGCCTTGCCATGGCCGGGCGAGGTCTCGCCGGATCTGGGCAGCCTCGCCGTCGCCAGGCGAGGTCGAGCTCTCCAGGCGACGGCGAGGTCTCGCCAGATCTGGGCGACCTCGCGGTCGCCGAGCGAGGTCGACCTCGCCCAGCGACGGCGAGGTCCACCTCGCCGGCCTCAGCCTCTCGCCGGTCACCGAACCGGCGACCGGGGAAGAAGATAGGAAAAAAAAAGAAAGAGAAAAAAATTATAAAAAAATCAAAAAATTATCAAAAATTGCCACGTTAGCCGGCCGGCGTCCACGTCAGCGCCGGCCAGCCAAAAGTGGCCGGATGGACTGAATTGACACAATTGTAAAAGGTTTAGGACTGAATTGGCTAAAAAAAAAAGGTTATGACTGAATTGGCACGATTGCAAAAGGTTTAGGACTTTTTTGGTAATTTTCCCTTTCTCGAATCACTCGCATTTAAACTTTTGTTTTAATGACAAATACCCACATTTAAACTTATCTAAAACACAATACACACAAATCCTCACCACCGGAGATGACAATTTTACCCATCCCGTCAGGTACTCCCAAGGCTCCACCCAGAATAGGGGCAGATAAAACTTACAAGCAATGTGTTTTGGAGTAGGCACGGGGCAAGTTTTTTCGCTCCGCATGCAGGGCAGGGCAGGAATGGATATGGTTGGCCTGCATCTGCCCACGATTAGGGATGTGCAAAATGGATCATCCAAACCTTAAACTGCCCAAACCGGATCGGACCGGCAGGTTGGGTTTGATTCCCTGAAGTGCCGTTCTGGTTCTCAGTTCTTAAAAGTAGAACCGGTATCCGAGCGGTCTGGTTCCCGATTCTAAGGGAGAATCATATCAAACTAGACCAACCAAACCGGACCAACTATATATACATTTTTTTTATTTATTCAAAAAAATTAGTAAAATGTGAACTAAACCATAAGTGGACTTCATTATTATAAATTCATTGATAAAAATTAGTAAAATGTGAACTAAACCCTAAACTAAACCCTAAGAGAACTTCATTGACAAAAATTAGTAAAATGTGAATTAAACTCTAAATGACTGGTTCCACTTTGGAACCGGACCGAATGGAGAACCGATCACCCCTACCCACAATCATACATTAAATTATCAAGAATTATAGTATTGACCTAGTTCCTTTATATAAGTTGTATTACTTTATTGACAATCTATAAGCTTTTTGTCTTTTCGGCATAGATTTCAATATCAACACGAATACTTCCAATTATCTATTCCCTTGTCTCATCAATCTACTGTGGAGAATTTCCAAACTGACTTTATGCTAACGGAGCAAAGATTCATATTTTTTCACCTATAAATGATTCATTCAAACTTGCAAATTCTTTTCCGGTAATCACCACATGAATCGAATTATGTTCGTTGAAGAACTTAATTTAAAATATTCTAAGCTTGAAATGATTGTGGAGAGATACAAAGTGGCTCGGACCATAGAACATATTGAAGAAGGTTCGGGAGGTGGAAACACAAAGCAAGATTCTCAAGCTACCAATGGATCTCAAATTGGCAAATTGGAATCAAAGAATGGAACCAAATATTTAGCAGAATCTCTTGATCAGATCACAAGATTTTCTTTTCTCCTGGCTAATTCCCTCGTTAACATAAAATCAGCGCTAATGGTCTTCTAAGCTTCTGATACACATCATAATCTTCTAATTTAATCAATGGAGTATACCTTCAAGAACACATGCTGACATAATTCTAGATTGGTACTCAAGTTTGCCAACCCACTCAAACTTAACTCGAGCACACGCTTTGAAATCAAGATTTGCGTAATGCTTAGACAAGCTCATTGATCCACCAGGTCATTCCTTAGGCATGAAGTTGAGTTGGCCCCAATTGTTCCTCAAGGGGAAATTGGCCAAACAATCCTAAACATATTATACGGATGTCAATTCGGTTCTAAACTTTTCAGTCTTGTCAACTTAGCAGCGATTTCCAGCGATAATTGACCGGAATAACTAAATTGAAATTTCGCGAAATGATTTAAAACTAAATTAGCAAATTAAAAAGGTTTATGATTAAATAGACATCCGTACAATAAATTTAGAATTGGTTGGGCAATTTTCCCTATTCATCAATGATCTGACTTTTCGTGGGCAAAAAAATGGGCGGTCGTAAATCCAGGTAGATTACTTCAAACCATAGTGGTATAAAAACAACTCGCTCGTGCAAACTCTGAACTTTTTTGGAGATGAAGTTGCTCTTTATTTGTTCCTAAATTCTTGCACCGATGGGCATTAAAGAATTGTGTTCTCCAACCGATTGAATAAAGGCCAATTCGGGGGCAAGTGGGCATGTGTCGCATCCATGGATTTAGTCTTTCCTGGATTAATTAATACGTCCTTAATTAAAATAAAATGAAGTGGGAGTTTGATTGTGACAAGGCCTTACCGTGTATCTGACTCGAGAGATTCCCATTAACCAAGCTGATCAACCACCGGTGACCTTAGTCTCGATCCT